CTGTAGTGTATCGTGTTGTCGTAATATAGAACTATTTCTCGTATTGTTTCGTTTAATTTACCGACATCGTTTTGCTTGTGGCCGGACGCCGTTCGGGTTCGATTCCTGAACGTATCAACTGTTAGTGGGTTGATACCCGAATATAACCCGCTACAAATCATTTATTAATAAAGCTTATTAAATATAAACAATTCCTTCTATCAGTGAATGGACAACTTATATATTAATTGTAAAAGTGAATTATATAGACTTACTTAATTACCGCATCCACGTGTTCCGCAACTCCCGGATCATTCTCACTAGAATACGTAACTTCCATATTTTACTGTATTCAACTGACACAAATTTATATTTATATCCAGTAAACTCCAGTCGTGCGTCGGAGCGGACACACACACTTTTTTTTTTTTATTGCTTAGATGGATGGACGAGCTCACAGCCCACCTGATGTTAAGTGGTTACTGGAGCCCATAGACATCTACAATGTAAATGCGCCACCCACTTCGAGATATAAGTTCTAAGATCTCAGTATAGTTACAACGGCTACCCCACCCTTCGAACCGAAACGCATTACTGCTTCACGGCGGAAGTAGGCGGGGTGGTGGTACCTACCCGTGCGGACTCACAAGAGGTCCTACCACCAGTAATGGCATAGGTAGGAAAAAAAATCGGCATAGGTAGGAAAAAAAAACTTAGATCATTGTCAAATGTTAACTTTAGTGTCGTAAATGTGAAAGTCTGTTTGTTTGTCCTTCTTTCACATCAAAATGATGCGAGAGATTGATATTATGATTATTTTTAAAGCTATAATATTCGATCAGGAGAATGACATATGCTATAATTTTTACAAATTACACTGATTACTTTCTTTGACCACGCGGATGAAGCCGCGGGTAGCAGCTAGTATATTACAAATCACTATATGAAGATTACTACCAAAATCCATAATCAGTTCTCCTCGCCATGGCTGAATGCCGAACGCGTCATTTGTGGTCGAGCGGTGGGTATTAATGTACAATCTGTGGTTCGTTCGTTCGTTTGGCCACGTATGACGTCACACGAAACGAAGTCACACCCGGCCGATTTGCGAACCTCTCCCTGCAAGGTCCCGAAGGTATCTGGATAATTGCTGTATAGTTAATTAATATGATATCAAAGGCATCTCCTTTTTATGACCGCACCTCCCGCCATCGGAGCAGAGTGCATCCATATTACCTGGAACCGCTGCGTTCATCCACAGTGCGTTTCCAAAGGTCTTTTTTGCCACGTACCATCTGGCTATGGAATGAGCTCCCCTCCACGGTGTTTCCGCGCTATGACATGTCCTTCTTCGAACGAGGCTTGCGGAGAGTACTTAATGGTAGGTAGTGGCTTGGCTCTGCCCTTGGCATTGCTGACGTCCATGACGTCCACTTACCATCAGGTGGGCCGTATGCTTGTCTGCCTACAAAGGCAATAAAAGAAAAAGGCACAAGTGATTTTTTTTAGAAAGATGTATTTCCCTCACAGATCGCCTCTCCTCCCCGCCTTCCAATCCTAACGTCGACAGGTTCAAGCTGGAAGAGCTGGAGATTGAGAATAAGAAGCTGAAGGAGCATCTGGACAGGCTCCGCGCTGCCGGAGACAGTACTCTCGTCTCCAAGGAGGTTATCGGTAGGTTTTTTTTTACTATCGATAACGCTTATCGATAACAATAATGCGCATCATTATGCCCGTCCATAAGGCTCGTGAGTGGAAGAGAGAGCGAGATACTCGCTTCACCGCTCCGATTTTTAATGACCCAAACTGCACGGACAAAATAATTCTACAGTAACATACACATACGTTGCCGCTACTGACCTTGAGGCTTGAGGTCTAAGTCTGAGTACTTGAGGTCTAAGTTTGAGGGCTTGAGTTCTAAGTGTGAGTATTTTACCAGACTAGTAACATACACATACGTTGCCGCTACTAACCTTGAGGCTTGAGGTCTAAGTCTGAGTACTTGAGGTCTAAGTTTGAGGCTTGAATTCTGAGTCTGAGTATTTTACCAGACTAGTAACATACACATATATTGCCGCTGCTGACCTCCAGGCTTGAGGTCGAAATTTGAGTTGTGTATGTCTGTGGGGGCGGGCTTACGATAAGCCCTACTTATAAATAATAATAACGCAAATTTTAAAAAAAAGGTTTGATTTTATCATACGATGTAATTCGTTCATCGTGGAGTTGTCCATGGGCTCGCGCTAAGTACGCACGTCCTCACAGCCACCAGACTCCGCAGACTTGTTACTCAAAAGGTCACGGCTACTCCGAATTAATGATTAAAGTACGCTAGGATACAGGTTCGATTCTTTTGATATCCATTTCGTTTCCAGATCAGCTGGGCGTCATACAGAAGGAGCTAGACCGGCGCCGCGACGAATGCGTCCAGCTGAAGAGCGTACTGACGAATCAAGTAAGTTTTGATTCGATTTAAATGCATTTGAGAACACGCTGTATATGCGACGCGACTATACAGGGTGTGGTTTTTGTCTTTTCGACTTGCTCGTGACTGAGGATTGTGGATATCGAGCGCTATTTCTTTTGTTTTATTGCTTAGATGGGTGGACGAGCTCACAGCCCACCTGGTGTTAAGTGATTACTGGAGCCCATAGACATTTACAACGTAAATGCGCCACCCACCTTGGGATATGAGTTCGAAGGTCTCAGTCACAACGGCTGCCCCACCCTTTAAACCGAAACGCATTACTGCTTCACGGCAGAAACAGGCAGGGCGATGGTACCTACCCGCGAGGACTCACAAGAGGTCCTGCCACCGGTAATTACGAAAATTATAAATTTGCGGGTTTGATTTTCTACTGCACTTCCAGCCATCCGTGAATGCGTATTGTTTGAACGCTTAGTTTGATGTTTTCCGCTCAACAGAATAATAATGGTGGTAGGTCGCGATAATAAATCACACTACATTCTCTTATTGCGTGTAACAATAATAAAATTCAGGAAGTACTAATAAACGCTCTGTGAAAATATAGGTTATCTGTTAAAACCAAATACGGTTGTATCTTATCATTTTAAGATAAAATTTGGACGAGACGATAACATGTAATGCAAAAAAATAAAGTTTGAGAATTCGGTTTGTGCGTTGAAGATGTTTTATATTAAATGATTTTCGTATATTTTTATTAAAATATTGTTTTGAATAAAACTTCGAATTATGAATTTATTCTTTGTACTAAAATAGTTTGGGAACCGCCGGAGAACTGAACTAAGATTCGGATGACGCCTCAACTTTTATTTATTTATTTTTATTGCTTAGATGGGTGCACGAGGTCAGAGCCAACTTAGTGTTAAGTGGTTACTGGAGCCCATAGACATTTACAACGTAAATGCGCCACCCACCTTAAGATATAAGTTCTAAGGCTTCAAGTGTAGTTACAACTGTGGGGTCACATTAAAAATTGCTAACTAGATTACATCTCGTCTTCAGTGTGCTTAATGCGAGTTTTTTAACGTACTCGATAGCGTAAAAGTTAGCTCATGTTTGTATGGAATGGGATCGTTTGCGTACGTTTGCCGCTAGGGGCGCTGTTCCAACTGCATACAAAATTGGGCTAACTTTTACGCTATCGAGAACGTTAAGAATCTCGCACTAAGCAAGTCTACTAAGCCTCATTAAGTCTTGCCACTACCCACCTCCCCAAAAAAACAGTTCCTACCTTCAATAGTTAACGCTCTTGAGTTCGTTGGTCAATTTCTCGCTCTCTTCTTCCCAAGTCAGTCTTTCTTTGTTATATTGATCTTCTATCCCTTTCTTCGCTTCGGCGAGTCGCGTATTGGCGTCCCTTTCCGACTGCAGTTCCGCTCGCAGCGCGTTGATGATGCTGTCCTTGATCTAGATTATTCGTTCACTAAGATATATCGACAATAAGCTATAGCATAAATATTAATCCGCAATGGACAGCGAATCTTTTCCGCTTTATTCGTGTTCCATTGCGTGCAACTTTAGAATGTAACCATACGCATTCGTCATTCATTGTTATCGTCTCATGATTTTCGAGGCCTATTCGCAATAGCGGTAGGCAGTTATTTGACTCTTCCTCTGGCATAGCTGACGTCTATAACCGGCAGTAATAACTCACCATCAGACGTGCCCTATGCTCGTCTGCCTACTAAAGCAATAAAAAAAATCCGGCTCTTAATACAACCTTTATAATCCAGAAAATAAGAAGTAAACCGGCCAACGAAAACTCTATTGATATCGCGTCTAAGAACATTCATAACTGACATGTAAACATAGATTTATAAAATAAGTTCTGGGCTAATATTTACACTGAAACAATTCTTACAGTTACTCGGAAACTATATCTATATATTTGTTCTTAAATGTTTTAAGGTCACCATAAGAAACAAGTGGGTTTATCAATTAGCGAGTCTCCAATTTGATAGTGTAATAGTGATTGTATCATTTCGTAATTAGAAAACTAGGATTTATTTAATTGTTGACTTCTGCTATTATTATTATTATTGAAAAAATCTTTAATTGTTATTGTTGCGTTTTGAATGTAATTATTCTGTGATATAATTGAATTGAAGGCCGTGTTTTTTTCAATATCAAAAATCATAATTGTGAACACAGTGAAATGTGTATTTGTTGTGTGAATTCGTGAAGAATGCCCATCACTGGTATTAAAATATCGAAGACACTATTCATCGATGCTCCAATGCATAGAAGTCAGTTTCATTACAGCAGAAAGTCGAAGGTATAATTATAATTTTTTTGATAATCCCACCACTTGTTATTTAGAAGGAATAAATGGTATCGACAAAATCTGTAAAAAAAATTTTAATCGGTCTTCGCGAATCTCGGATACTATTAAAAGTACTTTTACGATTTAGTTTTACGTTTTTTTTTTTTTAATTAGTATATTATTTCTGACGTTTCCAATGCAGTTACAGTTTTCGTGGTCATTACGAACGGCTTCTTTTTAAGGTCTCATTCGACATCTGAAAACCGAGCAGATATTACTGTCGTGTTTTTCTCTAAACTTATTTCTAGACTTTTACGACGAACTAATAGTAGCTTGAAGTTTCGCAGCTGGCAACTTCTAGATCCCAAGATATTATTTGTTTGTTCTGTATGAAATAAGAAGGAGGTAGGAACGTTTTATTGATGATAAAAAAAAACCTAAATATTACGTCAATGCCTGTTTAAAAAGGTGAAAGAAATTCAGAATCGAAAGAACTTAAATTGTTTTTTTTTACGATTGACGATTACGGATGCTCTACGAATCGTCTACGTATCGATTTTCGGTTCGAAGTTTTTGATAACCGATTATGTGATATATTTTTAACATGGCGTCTAAATTGAATTTGTCTGTTTTTTTTTTTAACACAGAAGCCCTGGTTCCAAGCTCTTAAAACAGTTGTAAGTAATTGTAAATTTTAAAATGTAACACTCATCATACTCGCCGGCTTTTGATATGAAAATTTATTTTGCATTATTATTTTGCATAGGTAACATTTATTTTTGCATGAACTTTTAAGAGCAATTTTATATTGAATGCTTACTAATGATCTAATTAATATCATTGAAATCATAGGCATACCATGCATTTGCTTCGTGCACGTCATATGAAGCATGGTGTTTCTACAGAGGTCCTGTGTCCCCGCTGATGTGGCGACTAAATAAACAAAAGAATGTGGGTAGGATAGATAGGAAGCCAGTGAGGGTAGATACCACCATCTTGTTGATTTTATCGCGAAACATGCATTTCGGTTTGAAGGGCGGGACTGTCAACAATTGAATATTCAAACTTTTTATGTTGGAAGCATTGACGCTGTCCAAGGACTCAAAAATGAGTCACTAAAATTATGAAAAAGTGTATTAAATTAAAGCAATTCACCCTGCATTAAGGAAGGAAAGAGTCTCGGAAAAGATGTTTATCTTTTAAGAATGAGTTCACACGAGGTCGTTGACTTCGCACGTTAATTAACTTACATCTTGTTGCATTGCGTGCTATGCAAAAAGCATGGTTTTCCTAAACCAACTGGTAAATCGTCGTTGTTGATCCAATATGCAAAATACAAAGCAAAAAGTATAAGTACCTACATTTTTATATGATAATCAGGTAATGTAAACAGCTGGTCATAATAGTTAAACGACTTAGTCGCAATCTCCAAAATACACATGGCAAACATTGGTTTGACAATGCTGAAATAAATAGTGAATATTCTTAAACATCACAACAACCGCCCTCTTTGCGTTTTCATTTGATTCAGACGCACCCTGTATATTTATCTACTTTATCGGCAATAATTCTGATGCTATAAATGTATCGTTGATATGTGATTTTGGCATTTTTTGCCTACTTAGGCTAGTAACCTCGAGGGGTTATCCTAGCTTTACCGGACGTGTAGGCGAGCTCATGGAGCTCAGCCTGGCGACTTTGTTAACACTACCCCTAGTAAGCCCTACTAACGATTCGGAAACGCGATCTACTGAGAAGGTCCGGCAAGAAACTCAGTGGATTGTGTGAGGGTTGATTTTCACGAGGAACCCTTTGTCGCATTCGATGGTTTCGACGAGAACGGTAACCGGATTTTGCTAGCATAGCTTGAATGCTGTATATATATTTAAACTAGTCAAACTCGGCGAGCTGTGTTGGCCGATTTTCGATTTGACTTTGATCTGATCGCTACCAGAGTACACAGAATCGTTCGCCAAGTTAATCGTGACGATTCCATGAAGACTTCATCGAAATCTGTTCAGCCGTTTCGGAGTCTATAGGGAGGGAACATACACACATCGACTTTTATATGTATCGATTAAATTTTTTTTCTTCATTGTAGCATTGTTTCATCCCGCAATAAAGCTCACGGGCGTGTTGCCCGGCTATTGTAAAAAAAGCGTTTAATCTCATCAACTTTTAATTTTCAATTTTATTTTTACATGCTTTCCGCCGCTGTCGTTGCATGGTACATTTTCGTCTTTTTAATTTATTCTAGATACGTTTAAATAATTTAATTCGCATGTCGTATTAATTAAAAGCATTTTTACGGTTTTAAACTAACGTCGTTGTAACTGTAAAATGATTTAAACAACAAAAATCGTAAAAGTGTTTTTAATAATTAAATTATACTTTAAGAATTCGATTTTGTTTCCATAAAGAACTTTATTCGAATAGACGGTGAATCTGAAGTCGCTCGCCTCATCCAATTACGGGTCTGACGTGGACATCATTAACGAAGACGGTGAACTGGCGTCGGCCTATGAAGCGCAGAAGGGCATAAATAGGTACGTATTTTTTTTTTTAGCCTTTTAGTCTATAGGAATCTACAGCGGAAATGCCGCCACCCACCACGAGACATGAGGTCTAAGATCTCAGTTTTTACAACGTTTGCCCTGTTCTTCAAACTAAAACGCTTTACTGCTTCGCGACAGAAATAGGCAGGATGGTGGTACCTACCCATGCCGACTCACAAGACGTCCTACCACCAGTATAGAAATAGGCAGGGCAGTGCTACCTACCCGGTATATCAATCTTTTTTTTTTCTTTTTCCTACCTATGCCGATAGCCTTGAGAGGATATTCCAGCTTCTCCTTGACGTGTAGATAAGCTTACGGGGCTCAAACCGGAGTGTTGCTAACACTGGCCCTGGCAAAAACAGTGCTTCATAGAATCTACACCGTATAGGAAATGCGACCCACTGAGAGGATCCGGTAAGAAACTCAGTGGGCTGTCTATGGGTTAATTTACTCGTAGAGCCCTTCGTCGCAAGTGACGGGTTCGGAGAGGACGGTGACCAGATATCCACGTAGAACCGCCACATTGACCAACAGTGCGTTCACAGCCCACCTGTTAAGTGGTTACTGGAGCCTATAGACATTTACAAAGTAAATGCGCCACCTACCTTGAGATATAAGTTCTTAAGTCTCAAGTATATTTACAACGGTTGCCCCACCCTTTAAACCGAAACGCATTACTGCTTCACGGCAGAAATAGGCGGGGCGGTGGTACCTACCCGCGCGGACTCACAAGTGGTCCTACCACCAGTAAGAATAACTAAATATAGACTCTCTAAATTCCAGACAATTACAAGAAGAGCTGACAGCCGAAAAGGAATTCTATTCGAAGCACATATCGTCCGCTAAGGCCGAAATAGAGAGACTACGGGAAGAGAACGAAAAATATCAGAAGTGAGTTCTAAAAATACAGTTTGTTATTTTTTTGTTTATTCAAATGTAACTTTTAGAAAAGGAATTTCTCGAATCCCCACTGTAAATTTGTATTTCAGCACCGGAGACGCGATGAGGAAGCAATGGATTAAATTCTCTCATTTAAAAACAATGTTTACATCGAAAAATATATTCGTAAATTTGACTTTCACGTTGCTGCGTATTATGTAGTATTGTTGTTATTATGATTGATTTTCTTTTTTGTTGTTGTTTATGATTATTTTTGTTGTTGTTACAAATATATTTATTGTTGATTTGAATTATATTTGATAATGCGAAACGTCTAAACCCATCCGAGATTTTTACGAACTGTAACATATCAGAACAATTTTATTCATTATATTGTTTTTGATTAAAATACCATCGCAAAAGTAAAACGTAATTAGAATCGTGTTATAGACTGAGATATAATATTTTAAGATATTTAGGTCGGTACTTAGTTCCACAAGCTCTTTTCAGAGCCGCGTTGTAACCTCAGGCTCTTTTCAGAGCCGCGTTGTAGCCTCAGGCTCTTTTCAGAGCCGCGTTGTAACCTCAGGCTCTTTTCAGAGGCGCGTTGTAACCTCAGACTCTTTTCAGAGCCGCGTTGTAGCCTCAGGCTCTTTTCAGAGCTGCGTTGTAGCCTCAGGCTCTTTTTAGAGCCGCGTTGTAACCTCAGGCTCTTCTCAGAGCCGCGTTGTAACCTCAGGCTCTTCTCAGAGCCGCGCTGTAACCTCAGGCTCTTTTCAGAGCCGCTTTGTAACCTCAGGCTCTTTTCAGAGCCGCGTTGTAACCTCAGGCTCTTTTCAGAGCTGCGTTGTAACCTCAGGCTCTTTTCAGAGCCGCGTTGTAACCTCAGGCTCTTTTCAGAGCCGCGTTGTAACCTCAGGCTCTTCTCAGAGCCGCGTTGTAACCTCAGGCTCTTCTCAGAGCCGCGTTGTAGCCTCAGGCTCTTCTCAGAACCGCGTTGTAACCTCAGGCTGTTTTCAGAGCCGCGTTGTAACCTCAGGCTCTTCTCAGAGCCACGTTGTAACCTCAGGCTCTTCTCAGAGCCGCGTTGTAACCTCAGGCTCTTCTCAGAGCCGCGTTGTAACCTCAGGCTCTTGTCAGAGCCGCGTTGTAACCTCAGGCTCTTCTCAGAGCCGCGTTGTAACCTCAGGCTCTTCTCAGAGCCGCGTTGTAACCTCAGGCTCTTGTCAGAGCCGCGTTGTAACCTCAGGCTCTTGTCAGAGCCGCGTTGTAACCTCAGGCTCTTGTCAGAGCCGCGTTGTAACCTCAGACTCTTCTCAGAGCCGCGTTGTAACCTCAGGCTCGTCTCAGAGCCGCGTTGTAACCTCAGGCTCTTTTCAGAGCCGCGTTGTAACCTCAGGCTCTTTTCAGAGCCGCGTTGTAGCCTCAGTCTCTTTTCAGAGCCGCGTTGTAACCTCAGGCTCTTTTCAGAGCCGCGTTGTAGCCTCAGTCTCTTTTCAGAGCCGCGTTGTAACCTCAGGCTCTTTTCAGAGCCGCGTTGTAACCTCAGGCTCTTCTCAGAGCCGCGTTGTAACCTCAGGTTCTTCTTAGAGCAGCGTTGCAACCTCAGGCTCTTCTCAGAGCCGCGTTGCAACCTCAGGCTCTTTTCAGAGCCGCGTTGCAACCTCAGGCTCTTTTCAGAGCCGCGTTGTAACCTCAGGCTCTTTTCAGAGCCGTGTTGTAACCTCAGGCTCTTTTCAGAGCCGCGTTGTAACCTCAGGCTCTTTTCAGAGCCACAAAAAAATTTCGAGCTATTGTTAGAGCTTCGAAACTCTCACTTCTTCGAAAACTATTTTATTTTGAATGCCGCCCTAAAAACATTGAGTATTATTACATTTTGATCAGACACCGTACCGATATAACAAGTGAATATTATTTGTAATAAAAAACTTGTTTCATTCAATGTAATTACTTATTGTTGAGCACATGAAAATTGATCGTAGTTTTTGTTGTGTAGTCTGGACCGATCGTGCCCTACATGTTAATAAATGTTTACGTTACGCTACTTCATATGATTGTTTCCAGGCTGCTGAGCGCGGACCTGAGCCAAGACCCGAAGGACAAGAGCCATGAGTTCGCGCAGAACGAGATCATCAGGCTGGCCTCAGAAAGTCTGGCTCTACAGGTACACTCATCTATATATATAAAAATGAATTGCTGTTCGTTAGTCTCGCTAAAGCTCGAGAACGGCTGGACCGATTTGGCTAATTTTGGTCTTGAATCGTGGAAGTCCAGAGAAGGTTTCAAATGGTGGATAAATATGAAAATGTTAGGAATTAAATAAAAATAACAATTTTGTTTTTTTTGTTTGATGTCGGACGGATTCCTTTTGTTTGTTTTAAGTTTATTTTATACAAAAGCTTAGGTCTTTTATTTATCGATTGAGGCACTACGAAGTCTGCCGGGTCAGCTAGTCGCTCATAAAAATCCCAGAGTGCAGCGCCTTCTGTGCTTAGTACGAGCTATTTAACGTTTTCGATATCGTAAAAGTTTGCGTACGTTTGCCGCTAGGGGCGCTGTTCCAACTCCATACAAATTTGAGTTAACTTTTACGTTATCGAGAACGTTAAAAAACTCGCACTAAGCACACTGCACTGGACAAGTGTTCGAAGCATAAGAATAACTTACCTAAACGTTATGTCAGTCGAATCACAATATAATAATTATCAAATTGCGACTGTTTTTTCCACGTCAATATGGATCCTCCCGATCCATTAACGGTACTTTTAGGTACCACAAGCACCGGTCACCGTCCTCGTCAAACCCGTCGCTTGCGACGAAGGGCTCGATGAGTAAATTAGTCCATAGACACATCCCACTGATTTCGTCTCCGATCCGGTGGTAGATTCTGCGAAGCACTGCTCTTGCTAGGGCCAGTGTTAGCAACACTCCGGTTTGAGCCCTGTGAGCTCACCTACATGTTAGGCGAAGCTGAAATAGCCTCTCAAGGCTATCAGCATAGGTAGAAAAATCCCAACACGGGCGAGGAGGCCGATTAACTTTGTTTATGGTATTGTTAGGAGATGCAGTTGAAGATAAATAAAAACTATTCATCGTAATATTACCAATTTATTTATTTATTCATTTAATCATTTATTCATCCGCTCATTCATTATTTGTTTCGTTCATTCATTTATTGATTGCCATTCATTGCATTTATTTATTATAATTTATTTATTCCTCTTCTTCCTAGCGTGTTCAAGGCTTAGGATCATGGTCGGCTTTCCAACTTAAACTCCTCCACTTTGCCTATTTACTATTTTTTACCTATTTATTTACTTTTTAGTAATTATAGACTACACTGTACAATTATAATTACTGTAAATAATGTGTTTACTGTCGTATTCGCGAATCGGAAATATAATTATAACAAACTGTTTAATCTGACGTTTTTTTTTAAATTATCATTACTGTTACGCGCCGGGGTTAAACTCGGGATAAACTTCCACCGAAGTACAAAATAAAACTCTATTTAACACTTAGAAGACTTACAGAGCACTATACAATTCTCAATTCACTTCTTCCGCTTCGCTTCAGGTGATCCGGTTGCTGTTTCGCTTCGAGTAGATCCAATTAGTCGATACGATAACTCTACACTTATCGAGAACATTCCCGATAGGTCGAGTCGTTTCGATATGTGTTTCCGCTATTTGATAATAGATGACGTTGCACTTCTCGAACGTTCTAGATTTTACTAGTTCTTTTGACTTTCGTTTCTGCTAGTCGACGACAGATGGCGTTACTCTTACCGGCGTAACATTACTATTTCTATCAACTATCTCTATCTATCAATCTATCTATCTCTCTCTATCTATTTTTATCAACACCCACTTCAGAGCCAGGAATTCGCATTTGGTAAACCTCTTTGCGTTATGGACATATAAATAAATATATCATATTAATATAACCCTATGGTAAGAATGGTCAGGCAGTATAATGATTTGGCTAAATGTAACGGTAACCTTGATATCTTTGAACCCTAGACTCAGGGGATTTGTCAAATGTGTGAAGGATATCCTATTTAACAATGGCTAGTTATCAATATTTGTAATTTCAATTGTGTTTTCAATAGCCAAAGCTATGCACATTAATATGGTTTTGCTGAGTGCACATACTATTTAGATTGCAATCCAGTTTAGATCTAGGTACTACTTGTACGATTTAGCTAATATGTACCGTAATTATTGTATATACGGTCTATATATAAAATAATTGCAGGAGCGGGTCGACAAGTTGTCGGAGAGCTGTCGCCGCTACAAGAATCAGATACGGATGCTCGTCAACAAACTCAAGGAGGTCGGCGTTGATGACGTCACCGACATCCTCGAGGGTAGCGGTAAGAGGGGTCGAACACGCATCCGTCAGGGGGGTTGGGGGAACCTGCCACCATTAACAATACTTTAGTTGTGATCAGTTCCCGGGTAGATACTACCACTTTCTAGTCTGAAGCGGTGGGATAAGCGTCATATTGCACAACTTTTTTTTTTTATTGCTTAGGTGGGTGGATGAGCTCAGAGCCCACCTGGTGTTAAGTGGTTACTGGAGCCCATAGACATCCACAACGTAAATGCGCCACCCACCTTGAGATATAAGTTCTAAGGTCTCAGTATAGTTCAGACTCAGACTCAAACCTCGTGCTTTAAGGTGGCATAGCGATGTCTGCGTAACAATCTTCATATTACCTTACATATACCCTGATTTTACGTTGAAACCAAAAGTTGAAAAGTTGAAACCTTAGTTCTTCTTCTTCTTTATTTTTTGGCTCCTGCACGGTTTGTGCATTAGCCAGCGTCAAGTAATACGATTTTTTATAATTCGCCGTTGCAATTATTTACAGTTTATGAATAATAAAAATGGAAGGAAACTAATCACGATATAACAAAAATGATTAAAAACGAATTAAATTTACAAATGAGATGATATGTGATGAAATATAATCTCAGTAAAATGGTAGTCATTTACTGAGACTTTTTGGAGGATCCCGAGAAGTTACGTTCTGCGGCTTTGTTTCATTTTCCTACATCTGTGCACTTTCACAGATATTAAACAGTTAATAAAACACCGTTATTAAGACATTTCAACCTGAACAAACACTAAATAGACAAAATAAAACAAATCACAAAGCTTCACTCCTCGCGTTCCCGCCAAAATGTCCCGAAACCATAGTTAAACGCAGTTTAAAATTAGAACGCAGGCAGCGGTTTGCTCTGCTCTTTGTATTGCTGACGACCATGGGCCACGGTAACCAACCAACATCACGTGGGCCGTATGTTATCCGTCTTCCGGGCTATAACAACAAAAAAAAAATTACAATAAATACACCCAAGGTATGAATAAACAATGTGGTCCGCAGACCCGGTGGCGGCGCCCAGCGCTTCGGTCTCGCTGAACATGGCGCCCGTTACCAGGAAGAAGGAGAGGGAGTACCTGGGCATGTTCGAGTACAGGATACAGGACGAGCCCACCATCATAAAGAAACTTATAACCGGTATGAGCATTGTTTGTACACTTTTTTTTTCTTTTTATTGCTTAGATGGGTGGACGAGCTCACAGCCTGGTGTTAACTGGTTACTGGAGCTCATAGACATGTACGACATAAATGCGCCACCCACCTTGAGATATGAGTTCTAAGGTCTCAAATATAGTTACAACGGCTGCCCCGCCCTTCAAACCGAAACGCAATACTACTTCTCTTCTTTTTCTCCACCTTATCCCACTAGGTGGGGTCGGTACAGCTAATTTTTCTCTTCCTTTCTCTTCTATCAGCTATCATCTCAACACTCACTCCTCTCTCTCTTTCAAATCGTCATTCACACACTCCGTCTATGTTCGCTGATCGATCCTATGTAATGCGATATCGCAGATTTGAAGCCGAAAGTGGCGACCACGCTGCTGCCGGGCCTGCCCGCCTACATTTTGTTCATGATGCTGCGCCACACGGACCACGTGGACGACGAGCCCAAGATGCACCAGCTCATGAAGGCGGTGCGGAACGGCGTCAAGAAGACCCTGAAGAAGCGATCAGACAGCATCGAGTACAACGCGCTGTGGCTCGCCAACATGCTGAGGCTAGTACACGGAGCCCCCCACGGTGTCCCCCCGGCGTCCCCCTACTCGCCCCCCGTAGTGCACTCGACTAGCTACAGAGGGGCGTGTACGACTATCAAAAAACTATTCGAACCGTTATCGAGAAAAAATGTATAGGATTAAAACAGCACCCCTACCGTCCGTTAAAATAACTAATTTCGGCAGCACGAATGAATTTACTTAACTGCTTTCGTTTTGCAATCGAATCGTCCCCCGAGCCACTAACGGTGCTTTGAGGTACCTCAAGCACCGGTCATCGTTCTCGTCGAACCCGTCGCTTGCGACGAAGGGCTCGACGAGTAAATTAACCCTCAGACACAGCCCACCGAGTTTCTCGTCGGATCTTCTCAGTGGGTCGCGTTTCCGATCCCGTGGTAGACTCTGCAAAGCACGGCTCTTGCCACGGTCAGTGTTAGCAACGTCGTCAAAAAAAAAAAAACGAATCGTCACGTTTTCAAAACTTGAAATGTAATTGAAATGTAAATCTTGAAGGCTGATTATAGAGTACTACCGTCTAATGTAATGTTTCCCAACGCTTTTTTTGTGCCACGCCCCACTATAACATATCTAATATTTTTATGCCCCCACTACAAAATTTTTAACATTAAAAAATTTATTAGTTCACTTAAGAAACGTAAATGATAGGTTTTAGGAAGAAATCAGTAATATAATTTTTTAGCAGAACACACTAAGTTATATTTCAAAACATATAACCAAAATATGTACGAAATTGAAATTCAAAATAATTTTATTACTGATTTTCTATATTAATTTAGTGCGATTGCCCCCCTTAATTGGTGTCATTTGGAAGAGGCCTATGTCCAGCAGTGGACGATTATGAGCTGCTGATGATGATTATGCCCCCCTTAATTATCAAATTGCCCCCTTGTGGGGCGTGGGCCTCACGTTGAGAAACACTGGTGTAATATCTAATTCGTTTTCGTATCGAGAACTCGATACATTTACATTACGAATTCGATAGGTTTTCGTGTTTGACGTACAGTATAGAGTACTGTAAGCTTGGTTCCGCCGCAAAACGAACATTATCTGGGTCCAAAGGTGAATTTAGTTGAAAAATACAGTTGAATCTTCCACCTCATGTCCCAAGGTGCATAGTTGTAACTATACTGAGAACTTAGAACCTTTATCTCAAGGTGGGTGGCGCATGTACGTTGTAGATGTCTATGGGTTCCGGTAACCACCTAACAACAGGTTTTTTTTTTATTGCTTAGGTGGGTGGACGAGCTCACAGCCCACCTGATATTAAGTGGTTACTGGAGCCCATAGACATCTACAACGTAAATGCGCCACCCACCCTGAGATATCAGTTCTAAGGTCTCAAGTATAGTTACAACGGCTGCCCCGCCCTTCAAACCGAAACGCATTACTGCTTCACGGCAGAAATAGGCGGGGCGGTGGTACCTACCCGTGTGGACTCACAAGAGGTCCTATCACCTCACAAGAGGTCCTACCACTGTGGGAGCCCACAGGTGGGCTGTGAGCTCGTTCATCCATCAAAGCAATAAATAAATAAAATGTACGTTGTGACCTCTATGGCCTCTTTATCATTGCGAACTCATTAACCCAACTTACCACAAAAACAGGTCTGCAAGTTTTTGCAAGGTTTGAATATTTCATCTAAACAAGCTGATGTCCGACTCCAGACTCCTGAACAACCTGCGCCAGTACAGCGGGGACGCGGTCTACCAGGCGGCGAACACTCCGCGCCAGAACCAGCAGTGTCTCCGGATCTTCGACCTCTCGGAGTACCGGCAGGTGCTCAGCGATATAGCCATCTGGATCTACCAGGGTACGTCGGTTTATGCAGTAGAGTAATAGGACGCTTTTATTTTATTGCTTTGGTGAGTGGTCGAGCTCACAGCCCACCTGGTGATAAGTGCTTACCGGAGTCCATAGACATCTACAACGTAAATGCCGCCACTCACCTGTGTAGTTACAACGGCTGCCCCACCCTTCAAATCGAAATGCATTACTATTTTACGGCAGAAATAGGCAGGGCGGTGGTACCTACCCGCGCGGACTCACAAGAGATCCTACCAACCAGCAATTACGCAAATTATAATTTTGCGGGTTTAATTTTTATTACACGATGTTATTCCTTCACCGTGGAAGTTAATCGTGAACAATTCGAGTACGTATTTCATTAGAACAATTGGTACCCGCCTGCGGGATTCGAACACCGGTGCATCGCTGAACACGAATGCACCGGACGTCTTATCCTTTAGGCCACGACGACTTTTTTATAACGTGTTAATGGTTTGCCACACTAAATACAATTATTTATTATAAAATGTTATGTTTATGATTGTCCTAAACACTTCCTTCATCCTATGTTACGAGTTTTACGATAAAGTTCCATTGTTGTCTCCCAGGTCTGATCAATCTACTGGAGAGGCAGCTGGACCGTCTGATAGTGCCCGCGATCCTGGAGCACGAGGAGATCAGTGGGCTGTCGGGCCCCGCGCCCCCCGCCGCGCCCCCCGCGCCGCACGACGAGCCGCCGCCCACGCAGCCTGTACGTACTAGACTTCACTTTAGAAAGAGACAAACAACCTATTGACGTATGATGGTTGTCTCTTTTTTTACTGGTGGTAGGTGC